GGTAAAGGGTTGAGAAGGCCTGAGCCCTCGAGTGCTACGTTGCCCATGAGACTCACCCAAACACCAGTCACTAAAATGCCAGAGCCACGGGGATGCCCGGTATTAAATAAGATGAGGACATCTGTTCTGGGCTGCATTTTCAGGTCGGCAAAAATTGGCTTCATGTCAAGCAAGCCACATGACGCTCTGGCATCGAACCCTTGCAAGATAGGAAAACAAACTGTGGAAATGCAAAGGAATCAGTTCCGAGCAAACCGCTGAGCTGCTGAGCATCTATTTCAATATCCTTGAGCTCCCTCTATGGAAATTGGCGCTCTGAGTTGTGACACCACTTAAGCATACTTGACGCAAACTCCGACGTTCCCGCATCCGGGAGTTGTTTCGGGTGTTACTTTGACTGCGGTCGTAAATCCATTTAATTACGCCGAGGGATGATAATATCGCGTCACGAGGGCCTGGCATAACGACTATAGAGTGTCTGTTTGGTGGTAAGCTGGGGTTGTAGCATGTTACCATGCGTGAGTCATGTCACAACCATCTGCCGTGGAATACCGACCATTGCGACTCCTTGGCATGCAGGTTTTCGAGGGGAATGCCGGTCAGGGCCCTTGGGCTATGTCCTTCATTATCGTGTGCGGTTAATATAGTGTGCAATTCGACCCGCCAAAGGTTGTCGCCATGCACGACCACCAGAGTTTCCACGAGTCAGTTTGCTGTTTTGGTGACATGAGAAACAAGAGCGCATCGTGTACACACTACGCTACTTTCATTGATCACGTTTGTGTAGAAGAATACCGATGCATATATCTATATATATGTCCAATGCACACCCCATCTCCAACTTTCCAAGGTGCTAATTCACAATCCAATACTCATCACCCATGATTACATTATAACTTCCCATAAAGAACACCCCAAGGCTTACTCCTTATTCTACACTCGTTAACTCCATTTATCAATATGAAAGCTTCAAGTGTTCTTCTTGCTGTATTTTCTGGGCTGGCTATAGCTGCTCCTGCTCTGGACCCCCGTCAAAACGTTGGCAAGCTCAATGCGGCCCTCAAAGCCCTCAACGAGAAAAACGCGGAAGTGGAGGAGCGTATACGCACAAGTGTGGATGAACAAGCCAAAAGACATAAACAATGGAAGGATCGGTCGACTAGACAAGTGGAATTGATCAAGAAGGCGAAAGTCGTGGTGGACGAATTGGCGGAGCTCATTAATATAGCAGACCAGAAAGCTGATGAGGCACCAGGTAGACTGGATGAGCAAGTAAGTAATCTACAAAGCTGACTAAGTTGCGAGTAATGAAGCTAATACAGCAAACTATAGGAGAAGAGGCGAAAAGCATATAATCAAGCCTATTGGAACATTGCAAATGACTTTGAAGTTGCAATCAAGGGTTAAACCTTTCGGGCTGTCTTGCATTGCGAGGTCTTGGTGATTTTCCGACCTATAAGGAAACGCTATAGTCGTTGTATGGAGTTCTCCTCCAGGAGTTTAAGCTCGGCCGGCTATTGCATGATGGGACAAGAAGTAGCGTAGGAGAAATATACCGCCACCCTTTTCCCTCTTTCAAGATTTATTGGTGATTTAATGATGTGATTAAAGCCATGTCAATGAGTGTACGTGCGGGCCGGACATATCTTTGATGCCTAAAACGACAGAGATGCTCGAGTTCAACTTGCTGACCATGTGGCTAATAGGCAATAAAGAGTAAAAACCCAGTTTTAGCTTCAGTGTTCCTCGCTACTTGCTCATTCACTGACAAGAGACTGACATCAATTTGGTTCCTCACTTTCTATTGCACCTCAGAGCTCCTTGTTCTACACTCAATTTGTTCACGTTTTTCTATTGTAGAACAGTATGGCCTTTTAGATAAATATATACAGAGAGGTGATTGGACCAACCTGGATCTTGGATTGGCATCCACACCTAGACTGTCGACAAGAATAGGGATTGAGGCTGGTATAATCTTCATGTCAAGTTCATGATACGCAAGCTGGCCAACTTCAACCGTCAGCATGTGAGCGCCCACCGCCACAGCCCACCATCCACCATCCACCATCCAACAACCACAATGACAGGCCTCTGAGCGGTGCAGGGTTTTGGCTGGACGCCCGGTAAGGCGTTTCCGGGCGCTCACCAACACAGCCTCTGTTGAGAGGGCTGAAATGTAACCCCATGTCATCTCCGACCGGCCGACAGTGCAAATGGTTCCGAGGGACCGGACAGATGGATCTATCTGAAGTATTCATTGGCCTTGGTTGCTACCAGTGCCTGAACTCTGCCAGGCAAGCATAGCTGCGAACTCGACAAATCCTACAACACCACAATGCCGCCGCCGGATCAACGGACCGCCTCTTGGCAAGTTCATACAAGCAACCCGGCCGAGACTTCCAGCGGCAGTAGAGGCGGCCCTTGTCACACGTGCCGGCGTCAGCGGCTTCGCTGCGATGCCACCAGGCCCAGCTGCAACAAGTGTCTGGCACGAGGCGTGGAATGCCTGGGCTACGGGCCACAGGCAATTCTCTGGGTACAGCCCAAATCGCCTGCGCAGGTGGGAAAGTCGGCAGATGAGAGCACAAAAGAACCAGAGTCGATGGCGACGACGGGGAAAAAGAAGGGGAGGCCAAGATTGGTGCTGATGCCCAAGAATACAAGAGAGTCCCCGGCACAGTCGGAGCCTCAAGCACGCCATGAATCGGAATGGGTGTTTGTGAACCACGCAGACTCCCCGGATGGCAGGAGAGCACTGGTCAAGAAGCAGGCCGTATCGTCCGAGTTGGTCCCTGCAGGATATCACAACAACATGCTGGCCCTTTCCATGCTGGATTATAGTATGCCACGCGCTTTGCCCTCGCATCATGACCCTTTCACAAGAGCGAGACTGACGTGCCTTTTTTTTTTTCGCAACTAGTGAACAAGTACATTGTTTCAGACATGGTTCTCTTCGACAACGAGGTCAACCCCCATAGAGTAGAGCTCCAGTACTGGCAGTATTTCCCAGACGTCATCATAGACATGGTCATCTCGTGCTGTCTCACACACCAGGTCATACGGTGCCACGCGACGCAGGACAGTTTTCCACAGACGTCGAGCAACGTCCGTAGCCAGCTCGTCCATGTCACGAAACACCGGATATCGTCGTTTCAAAACCCGTCCGTTGGCGTCATATTCAAGCACCACCTTCGCACGCTGCGGCAGCTCGGCGAGGACCTGAAGGATCAAGAGCTCCGGTATAGTGATGTCGTACTCGCGGCCATCATTACCCTGGTGAGGGTAGAGGTTCGTGGTGCCCATTCAGAAGCGGCCTCGGCTGCATGCTTAACTGACGGTGCAAGTAGATCCAGCAATCCGCCTTTGGGGCTTGGCCGGCGCATCTTGATGCCGCAAGAGCCATCATCGCCCAGCGCGGCGGTTTCCAAACATTTCTGCCGGAGAATAACGCAAACATTGGTGAGGGCTTGGCCACGTTTGTCTTGTAGGTTCACTCTCCGAGCCATGTCTGCCCTTCAAGGAGCACGAGGTTGACAGCATGGTCAGCGTGGACATCCTTGGTGCCATATTCACACCCAGCAACATGTTGAATTCCCGCGACACACTCGCTCAGCTCGAGTACGTGCCGTTTCTGGACACGATTTGCAGGGACGGCGCAAATTCCGACTTTCCCTGCGCAAACCGACTCCTCGAATGCATCATACGAATCAACCAGATACGCTTCCTTGGTCAGGGAGTCGAGGCACAAGGCTCCGATCTGGATGCGGCGTGTTGGCAAATATTCCACCGCATCGCGTCATTTGATGCGGTGACCTGGGCTCAGTCTCGGTTACTCGAGCTCGGCTCCTCCTCTGCGCCATCTTGGTCCCCCGAGATTCGGGATACTCGCCAAAATGGAGCAATTGCGGTGCCGCGCGCCACGTATCAAGCCATGACGGAGGATCTAGCCCGAGCCTTCCAATACGCCGTTATGCTATATTGCGTTCGAACGCTTTACATGGACCGTGGCAAATCCGTGCCGGACTCGCTTGCGTCCCTCATCGCGGCTCCGCTTCAATCAGAACAACACGTTCCTCTTGATGTCGAAAACCTACACCAGTCTGCGCTAAACGGACTTTTGCAAGCCTTGCACCGCCTCTGGGCCATGGAGAAGAGCAGTGGTCCGGCATGGGTGGGCAAGTTTTCGTTTTGGCCGATTTGGGTGGCGGGCATGGAACTTGATCCAAGAGTTGGAACGTCGCACGAGCAGGCGTTTATCTGCGCGTCGTTGCAAAGACTGTGCTATTACCTTGGTGCTCTGGGGCCGTTGGATGCCGTCTCTGCCCTGCAGGCTGTTTGGGCAAAGACGGCGGTTGAAGCCGTTGCTGGGCAGCACGAGACGTGGGATCGTCGACTCATGGTGCCAGGTCTGCGCTACATGTTTTGTTTCTGATGGCGCCGTTGTACGTGGGCTCACTGCCTTTTATTTTGTAGGGTAGACGTAATGTTTGGTGGTTGTCGTCTGATGGAAAAAAGAAACGGGCACTGACAGCATCAAAAAGAGAAAGTGTGCGGCCATCGGGAGTCGAACCCGAATCGGCTGAATGGAAATCAGCCATGCTAACCGTTACACCATGGCCGCTGCCGTGGTGGATGCCGTGGAGGAGCCCTATTCCACATCTCGTTCTTCTCAAAGCGTTGCGCATCCAACACCACACCAGACGGTAAGTTTCAACATGACACGCAGTCACACGCTTGATCTTGATGACTTACTTTTAGACACTGCCTTTTTTTTTTCAGTGCAGAATTTGATAGATAAATCAATAACAATAATAATAGTAAAATCGCAAAAAATAACTCGACATGACATGAATCATGATGATACACTCCTGTTCCTGGGCCCTGTCAATGCGGTGGGGCTTTTGCAACATTGAAGAGAAACGCCATGTTAGCTGCGTCCCGTCTGCTCTGAATCAATTCCCTCAACCTCGACTTCAATCAACTCAGGTCCAGCTGCAAACATGTCGCCGGTGGCCGACAGCCCTCCCGTCAAGTATGGCATCCTCCTGTTCCCCGGGTTCCAAGCGCTGGACGCCTTCGGGCCCATCGACATCCTCAACATGCTGTCGCAAACGGCGCCCGTCCACTTCTCCATCATAGCAGCCACCCTGGAGCCCGTGTCGACCAAAGTCAAGCCCACGAGCCCTACCGTCGGGCAGTCCGTCGTCCCTACGCACTCGCTGGACAACGCGCCCGAGGACCTCGAGGTGCTCCTCGTCCCCGGCGGCGGAGGAACGCGACAGCTCGAGTCGACAGAGCCGCTGGTTGCCTTTCTGCGGGCCACGTACCCCAAGCTCAGGTATCTGTTGACCGTGTGTACGGGGAGCTCGCTGGCGGCGAGGGCGGGCCTGCTGGAGGGGAAGAAGGCGACTACGAATAAGCTTGCGTACAAATGGGTATGGTTTCCTTCTTGTCTCGGACGCAAGTGTATGTACGCTGATGACGCTGACACGGAATGGCACCCTAGGTTGTGAGCCTCGATGACAAGGTCGACTGGGTTGCCAAGGCCAGATGGGTCACGGATGGTAATATCTGGACCTCGTCGGGCATCTCTGCGGGAATCGACATGATGTACGCCTTTGTCAGTGAGATATATGGGCCCGACGTGGCGGGCGATATTGCTCGAAGATCCGAGTATATCCGCAACACGGACTCGGCTGACGACCCCTTTGCGTCGCTGGTGTAGGATTTGTACTTTTGGACAGGCTGGCACGGCGCGTTGTTGTGGTGGAAGGAGTACATGGAATAGACGTTCTTCTAGGATAGCAAGAGACTGCCTAATGTTGGGCAAAAAAGAAAAAAGTCAATTTTGGGGGCTGACCACCTCAGCCGCAGCTTCATTTCTCCAGCCTCGCAGCCCATCCGGATGGACCGCCGGACGACAACCGAGTAGTATTTAATTACCTGCAAGGCTCGCAGTCAGGTCTTGAGACGGACCTGACAAGATTCGGGTCAGTCAGTCACACGCAGCCGACGCAGCCCAGGTAGCAGTACCCAGATCAGGCAGCTGTCCTGCTGCATGCACCTCATGTCTTGCACAAAAACATGGCAAAACAGTACTCCGTGATACAAGCTGCTAGCCGCTGGGGTCGCGGACGATGGTTCAGCTGTGTGCAGGGTTTCTCGGTTTGCCGCTCCTGGACGTCGTATTCCGACGGTTGGTTGGCTGGCTGGTTGGTAAGCGTACGAGCGGACAAGAAGGTTTGTCACTCCGGAGTATCTCGGACTATTTCGCGCGACGTGGACCGCCGAGGCAAGGAGGCCATACACAACATACACGCAGATACAATGCCATTTATTACGGAGCACCTCAGCTGAGACGGTCCACGGGGGCCCTTGTTCAGAGGATGAGGCCAAGGATGCCGAGTTCGGCTCCACATTCCAAAACGGGCGCCTCCTAAGTCCTGGGGGATGAGTGGCACTGGGTTGAGGTTGTGCAACAGGATGAAGGTGGTAGAGACATGATGACCATGTTTCTCCGTGTGACGGCACAAGACGGAACGGCACTGACGCTTGCAAAAGGAACGAGGAAAAGAACAACAAAGACATCAAAAGGTGAAACTCAGGCACAAAGCTGCATGCGTACTTCGCCTCGGTCCAAACCCAGCATTTGCATGCGAAAGACTAAGTGACAACGTGACTGTCGGATGACGTGGTTACAGTGGGGTGGCTGCCTGGGACGGCCCGTTGGGCACTGGGATTTATAGCGGGCGCAGGCCCCAGCGGCGCCAGGCCCCCCCTAGCAGCGCCCCCCCGGAGGCCTAAAATTACCACCGCCGTCAATCATGTTCAGCCGCCAGAGCCGATCACTGATCTTATCTGATCAGCCGACTGCATGCTCCCACCAGCTGTCCAGCTGCCCATGCCAGGTGCACATGTGTACAGTGGGTGGTGTACATGTGCCTTGCCGATGCCCAGCCAAGTCACTGTCACTGCAAGTCACTCTGCCCGCCTCGCTTGCCTCGCTCACGTCGGCCACACACTGGTCACATTGTCTGTTGCTCACCCCCTGGCCCTTCTCCTGATGACTACCGGACATCTTGTGTCCTTCTTTTTTGATTTCTTTGCTTCCTGCTTGCTTTCCCTCCTCCAGCCATGAGTTGCAAACACCCTGCGCCATTTCCTCGGACCTGTGAACCATCCATCCTCCATCGTCCAAGGCAAGGCCGTGACTGCGGCCCGTTGCCGATATCCGACTAAGACAAAATGCCGCGCTCAACGTCTCAAACACCGCTGTTCGGCCGCATCTCCCAAAGCTCCCAACATGTTCACGAACAGACATCCCTTCTGCCGTCCCAGCCTGACGCCGGTCGTGTCCGAAGCCGAGCCCCTGGCGTGGCGCGAATGGAAATAGTGGCATCGCAACTTACGACTGCAGAGCGAGCATGGCTTTTCTTTGGGATATTCCTCGTCGGGTATGCCTATGGCCTCGAGAGCCAAGTCCGTTCAACCTACCAGCCGTACGCTACCTCTTCCTTCTCCCTACACTCGTACCTGTCCACCATCAATGTGCTCCGAAGCGTCATCGCCGTGGCCGTCCAGCCGACAGCGGCCAAAATCGCAGACATATTTGGCCGTTTTGAAATCGTAGTGGCATCCACCCTCTGCTACGTCGTCGGCATGACCATCGAGTCCACCGCCTCCTCCGTATATGCCTTTTGCGTCGGCGCCATCATCTACCAGGTCGGATACACTTGTATCGTGCTGCTGCTCGAGGTTCTCGTTGCCGACTTCTCATCTATGCGAGCCCGCGTGTTTTTCAGCTACATACCTGCCTTGCCCTTTGTCGTCAACACCTGGATTAGCGGCAACGTGACGTCTGCCGTCTTGGCCGTGACCACTTGGCGCTGGGGTATTGGCATGTGGTGCATCATCTATCCCATTTGCTCCTTGCCCCTGATTACCACCTTGTACAAGATTGACCGCCGAGTCTCGCTGCCGAAGCACGGTGCGCCCAAGAACTTTCGTGACAGATGGAACTTTTTGGGGCTCGGAAAATCGACAAAGGGGCTGGCGGACCAGCTCGACGTCGTTGGACTCGTCACCATGGTTGGCGGATTCAGTTTTATACTCGCACCCGTCTCCATTATTGGAACGACGACTGAGCACTGGAGGAACCCCTATGTCATTTTGTCGCTCGGCATTGGCTTCGTCCTTGTCCCGATATTCATCATTTGGGAACGCCGCGGTGCCAAGACGCCCCTTGTGCCTTTCCACCTTTTGACCGATCGCGGCGTCTGGTCTGCCCTCGCTGTTCGAAGCTTGCTGAACTTTGCCTGGTATGTCCAGGGCAACTACTTGTACACGGTCCTCATCGTGGCGTTCGACTTTTCCATCGGCACGGCGACCCGCATTCTGTCTTTTTATTCCTTCTTTGGCGTTATAAGCGGCGTCATCGTAGGCCTCGTGGTATACAGAGTTCGACGACTGAAAGCCATCATTGTCGGAGGCACGATTCTGTTCACCGTTGCCTTTGTTGTGCTTTACAACTTTCCCGGGGGCGCGACGGCTCGTTCGCACGCAGGTATCATTAGCGGGCAGGTCCTCATGGGACTTGCCAGCGGCCTCTTTGCGTACCCAACACAGGCGTCTATCCAGGCGTCGGCGACTCGCGACCACGTTGCGATCCTGACCGGCTTGTACCTGTCTTTTTATAACGTCGGCAGCGCCTTTGGCACCTGCTTGGCTGGCGCTATCTGGAGCCAAGCCCTGTATCCCACGCTGAAGCAGAACCTGGCCTTTCAACCCAACGAGACGCTTGCTCGGGACATTTATAAATCGCCATTTCCCATAGTGGCACAGTACCCCGTTGGCACGGAAATTCGAAACGCCATTATCGAAAGTTACAAGTCGGTACAGCTGCTGCTGTGCACGGCGGGATTGTGTCTGTGCATACCAATGATTGCGTTTGCCCTGGCACTGAGAAACCCCAAGCTTTCGGAGCAGCAGGTGCAAGAGGATGCGCTCGAGACAGACGAGGAGAATACACGATAGATACGGAGTACTGGACATACCTATATACTTGCAAGCATGATATATTTATTGGAAATTTGCCTGGGTAAACTGAGATTAGACTGGGATTAGTATGCGTGATGGGGTTGTCTCCCCGGGATCCGGATACCCTGCGAATAATAAGAGCATAGAGAGGGCATTTTATGATGACGACTTGGAACTGGTTTGAATTTTGCACATGGAATACACAGTTTTACTCGTGTGCAGGTGTGAAGCGGAGTGACATTGGACGTGATGCCAGCAGGCAGGACCAGAGTCTGGTCCCTGGCTCTTATATAAGTACTCCGTGCACAGTGCCTGCCTGTCTGGTCATGCAAGAGTCTGGTGAGATATGATGATTGAATCCCTGCGAATCTGCCCGTGCGGCCATGTGCATCCATGTGCCACGTAAGTGATGCATGCATTCAGCTATGGCCCTGCGCGGCACTGCAGATGTCTGAGTCCGGATGTCGTGCTGTTCCTGAGCCACCACTGAATGTTTCGCAGCCACCGGACATGCGCAGTTGCAGCCAGGCCCAAGCGGTTAGCGCTGAGTCCACCACCACCGACCACTTGAGCCCCTAACATTAGGTACCTAAGTACCCAGGTGCGCCGTACCAGACCTCAAGTGCTAGCTGTACCTTGAGGCCTAGCCGCCAGGCCTACATCCTGGCCCCAGCGGCACCGGCCGGCAACACGTGTGATGGCACTTGCAATTTCAAAAAAAATAACCGGCCCGCCATCGGCCACCTTTCGGCCGTCGTCCGTGATTTTATTGCCGTCGGCTGTCCATCAGTCATCTTGGGCCAACGACCAACTTTGTCCTGCTCACCACCACCAGCAGGCACCATGGCGTCACAACCGCAGGATCCCGCGAACTCGGACAAGAAGAAGAGCCCCAGCGCTCTGCGGTCAATTCTGGCGGGCTCGACTGCTGGGGCCATCGAGATTGGTATGCTGCCCAATCCCCGCGGACTACATTCTGGTCACCAATGCCGTACTAATACTCTGGTTTCAGCCATTACATATCCTGCGGAATGTATGTCGTAGGCCCTCGAACCCGGTTCGGCGCGTCGAATAGCTACGATACTAACCTGCGCAGTCGCCAAGACCAGATCGCAGCTGAATAGGCGGTTGGCCGAGGGCCAGAAATTGCCCTGGCCGCCGTTTGGAAAGCAATGGTACGCAGGATGCACCACGCTCATCATTGGCAACTCGGCCAAGGCTGGCATTCGTACGTTGGCCAACGTCTCCCCCGTCCGTCGCGCTGCTGCCCGGTGCTAATAGCCCGCCCGTGTGATTTGTAGGCTTCGTCGCATTCGACCAGTACAAGAGAATGCTTGCCGACGCTGATGGAAAGCTATCTGGCCCGCGAACCGTCCTCGCCGGCTTTGGAGCTGGCGTCACAGAATCATTGCTGGCCGTGACGCCGACGGAGAGCATCAAGACGACCCTGTACGTTTTTGCTCCGCGTGCAATCCCCTCTGCCGAATCTACCCGCTGACACACACCGCCCTTGTTGCCTCGCAGCATCGACGACAAAAAGTCCCCCAAACCCCGGATGCGCGGGTTCCTGCATGCCGTGCCCATCATTGCGCGCGAACGCGGCATCCGCGGCTTCTTCCAGGGTTTCGTGCCGACGACGGCGCGCCAGGCCGCCAACAGCGCTACCCGCTTCGGCTCGTACACCTTTCT